GAAACTACATCTATGAATTAATTATAGAAAAACATAGATCTAAAGTTATAATAAAAAATTTGTACTAAAGCATACCATATTAGATTTACTCATGTGGAGCCCACCAAATTTGGATTCTCTATTTTATAATATTTCTGTAATTTACTATAATTTTTCAAAGATTCAGTCGAAATAAATAAAAAAAAGACAAAATTGCCTTTGAAAACCGTTTATAACTGGTTAGGGAGGTAAAACGAAGATTTTAAAAGTTCAGGGAGGTAGTTTACCCGGTTTTAAAGTTCAGGGGAAAAGCAGACTTTCGCAAAACTTGAGGGAGGTAATGTGGACTTTTTCCACACGGAAACGACACGTGAAAGGAAAATCGGTGCTCGCGTGCTGCGGGCCGCGAGGGAAAACGGTGACAAGTGCTTGATTGAGCTGAATGTTGCGCTCATGTGGGCCTAAGTGGGCTTCTGGGGCTTTCCTAGCGACAGTTTGTAGACTTTGATTTGTTTTTTTTTTCATGATCACAGTTTGGACTGTTTGATCTAGAGCCAACGGCTCAAATCTGCACCCTTCTCTCGCTTCCTCCTTCCTCCTCGACACCCGACGCCTCCGCCACCACCGCTTGCGCGCCTCCCACCGCTCGACGTCCCGCCACCTCCATAGCCCAAACGCTGTCTCCCACCACCCCGTTGGGCGCGACTCCAATCTCCACCGCCGGGTCGACAAGCTCCCGGCGACCTCTCTAAGCCCGGAGACCTTAGGTAAGGTAAACCCCCTCCCTCCAAAATTATCCAAGGTTAATGGCCAGGAAAAATCCGAAATGGCCATTAAGATACTTAAATTTTGTACTTATCATTAATATACTGCTTAAATTTTGTATGATTTTTTAAGCATCTTAACGACCTCAAATGAAAAAAACTTAAAACTAGAAAGTTTTAGATCACGTCTAAAGCTACAATTTTCATATAACGATCACCTTCATCCGAGATCGTATGAAAAAGATGCAGTTTTTTTAAAGTTGTGCCTTGCTGCGCCTGGCGCGGCGCGCCGCGCCAAAGTGAGTGGCGTGACAAGGTTTTCCACGTAAAAATTATTGTCCACCGTGGCAGATCATGCCACGGATGCATATGGCGCGACAACGTGTTTTGGCCGTGCCAGGTGAAAGGTCATAAATGGCTAGAGGGGGTGAATAGTCTATAAATTTTTTTACAAATACACTAGAACAAGATGTTAGTACACTAAATGGCGAAATACAATTTTGCTCTAGCTCTACGAGGGTTGCAGGTCAGCTATTCAACAATTCTAGTTGCTATGATCACTAGACACAAACAATGGCTATGTACTCACTAAGAGCTCTCAACAAGTCTACAATAAAGAGCTTCACTAGGTGATACTAAACTAGCAAGCAAGATAAGCTCTTAAAACTAATTACACTAAAGAACTTGACAACTAGTTTATAAGGAATGTAAAAGAGTGAGTATGGTGATTATATCGCCGCGTCAGGGAACGAACCAATCACAAGATGAAGACAATCCAATTACCGGAAGAAATGTAATCACACAAGAGACACAAGATTTTCTCTCGAGGTTCACGTGCTTGCCGGCACGCTAGTCCCTGTTGTGTCGACCAACACTTGGTGGTTCGGTGGCTAAGAGGTGCTGCACAAACCTCGTCCACACAATTGGACACCGCAAGAACCTACCCACAAGTGAGGTAGCTCAATGACACGAGCAATTAATTAGAGTTGCCTTTGGTGCTCCGCCAGGAAAGACACAAGACCCCTCACAAGCAACCAATCGAGGCCGGAGACAATCACCAACTCCACTCAACGATCCTCCAATCACTGGGCCATCTAGTTGTCAATAAACACCAAGAGTAACAAGCTCACAACCAACCCAAATCATCCAACTAGTGCTACAAGATGATGCAACTCAATGCAATGCACTAGAGGCTCTCCAATCTCACTCAAGATGATGAAATCAAGTGAACAAGTGAATAGAGTGTGTTGCTCAGCTTCCAAAAGGTGTGCACAAGTGTATGAATTGCCAAGAGGGTGGCCAAGGCCGAGCACACCCTCTATTTATAGTCACACAAGCAAATACAGTCGTTACCCTTGGAGCTGCTTTCTGCGAGGGCACCGGACAGGGCAGTGCGATCACCGGACAGGGGGTGATGGTGCCCCAACCGTCGAATTCTAATGGTCGACCAACGGCTAGTTGGTCATCGGACAGGGGCGACGGTGGCACCGGACAGGGGGTGGCGATGCCACCCTGGCCGAGCCCCCGTTTTCCCTCCTCTTTGGATAAATAGGGCGGTGCACCGCCGCATCCATGGCGGTGCCCCCCTCAGTTATAAATCCAACTCGCTGCACTCGGGTGAAATAGGGCGGTGGCACCGGACAGGCAGTGACGGTGCACCGCCGTGTCCGGTGACCACCCCACAGCGGCCCTTCTCTGTCAGGTCCTGGTGGGCACCGCCCTAGGGGTGGCGGTGCCACTCATGCACCAAACCCCTTCTCCAAGTTGCAAATTCTTTCGCGTTTCGTTTCACGACAACTTAGAGCAACTTTCCGCAAGCGATAACAGTCTTTTATTTGTACCTATGTCTTACATCTTATCTAGAGGGTGTTTAGATTCACCTCATAAACTTTAGTTGTTGTTCTATTCGATGTTTGAACACATGCATGGAGTATTAAATATAGACTAATTACGAAACTAAATGCACAGATTGAGACTGTTTTGCAAGATGAATTTTTAAGCATAATTAGTCCATGATCTGACAATGTGGTGCTACAGTAACATATGCTAATACCAGATTAATTAGGCTTAATAAATTCGTCTCGCCTATTACTGACATATAACATATTCTATAATTTGTTTTTTATTAGTATTCGAACACCGTATGCGACACCCCATGTAACACATCATAAACTTTAGTTACTGAATCCAAACACCCCCTTATATCTTAATATCTTATATATATCTTATATCTTATATATATATTTTATCTTATATATATTCTTATAAAGCAAAACCCCACTAGCTATTTTCTTAACATGCAAGTTGTCTAAGTAAGCAATGCACTATCATATACAATTAAAATCCGCTAAACAAAACCCCACTATCTATTCATTTCAACATACAAGCTGTCCAGATAGGAATGTACTATCACATACAATTAAAACCCACTAGCACATGCAACTATAATGTCCATATCAGTAAAACACATAAACATTTTATTATCCATGTCATCATACCACGCAATCCATTAATCCGCAATTTCCGTAGCAACGCACAGGGTATACTTTAGTTCACTTAATGTTTGAACCCAACACTACATAGACTCCCGCATACAGCTTGAGAGCCAATCTCTTCTCTCCCTCCTCTCTTCTCTTCTCTGCATCAGTATTTGCTTGGCTATACTAATCTAGCTATTATACTAATCTAGCTAGCTAGACTATAGATAAAATTTGCCGGATTGAATAGGTTTACGACTTTTCAAATCACTTCACCGAAGCAGAGTATATAGACTTAGAACTCCGTACCAACGACCTTCTAATACTCCATATGAGTGTTAACCACCTCTGACATCGTAGACTAGAACTGGAGCCACCGTGCAACAACACAAACGGATTTCTCAAGTTACCAGTCTAATGCTAAAAATCTCATGCTACCTGTCTAGAGTGAACACTGTTTTGGAAGCCTCGACAGCATTACACTAGCAACTCAACGAAAATTGCATTTTTTTTTTTGAGAGGTGTGGTTGAATGTTGATAGACACCAACAGTAAGCATAGCTGTTCAGTCAAAGCAATCTTGTTTTTGGGTCGATGAACCCCCTAGCTTCATTCGTGAAGCCCTGGTGAACGATGTAAGGCCCTGTTCGCTTGTCTTATGAGCCGTACTTTTTCAGCGAATTAACATTATTTTTCTCTCACAACAAATCAGCCAACAGTATTTCTCAGCCTGGCTTAACATTGTTTTCAAATCAATAAAATGCGCCAGGTGCCTTCGTAAAAAAAAAACAGTAGCCATATCTTGTATTTTTCAGGTCTAAAACTCGTTTTCACTCAGTTGCAAGTATAGCCTGTTTCTATGTAGTTGTATCAAATGGAAACAAATATCAAGTAGTAAGGATTATCTTAAGACCATTTCAAAGATCCTCATGCCAGCTCTTGAGTCTGCTACAGTTTCATCTCAACCAGATGTTTGTATCTCACTTCAGGGTGTTCCTTGTCCATCAGATAAACCCAAGCACACATACTACCAGAAGTTCGAACAGCAACCAGAAAAAATAGAAAGAGTAGAAAACATCATTCCACATTATGTGGTCATTGTAAAGGCATCGAGACCAAAGAGCAAGATCTACCAAGCTAAATGAACACTAACAGGAAAACTGAAACAGGACTTGATAAAGAAACAGCAAAAGAAAAATCAACAGAAAACCAATGGCATCTGATCTTCAGGTTGGGTACGAACACATTTTGAACTCCTTTCGGGAAAGGTTAGCCTACCTAATTCAAAAGTGCGTATTTTTTAACCAAAAAAATCAAACAATACTATGGGCGAATACTTGAAAAAACAAAGGTGAGCATCCGAGCATACTGCCTTAAAAAATGCTTGTTCAGGAGGAAAGTTAGAATATTCAGGTTCACATGTAATGATTTGTCCCTGCCACCCAGACAACTAGAAGTTTTGTGGTCATGGGGTTGAGTTTCCTGCAGGAGATATATTACTCTAATTTTCTGGTAATTTGCACAAAGGCATTTCACCCTACTATTTTACCTGGCATAGAATTTCTCTAATGACCAAATAAAGTGAGGCCAACAGAAGGTCGTAAATGCAATATACATTCATTTCTGCTATACTAAACATCAAGTTATCTTTAACATACAAACGCCACCTAGAAGGTGGTCCAACAAAAAAAACATAAAGGCTATGGTGCTTGACAGTTGACACGGAGCTTATCAAAACATGCACACGTTACAAGGTGTAGTAGAAGGGACAGAACAAAATGCTAGTACCGTTTTGATATGCGTGGCATGGAGCACTTCTCTTTCCTGTCCTGGAGAATGCTCACAACGACAGCAGCTGTTTCCTCTATAGCTTTTCCAGTGACGGCTGCATGAAAACAGTATCAAAGCATGTTTTTAAACAAAGAAACAACAAACAAAAGGTTTCATGAATACAACTAACTTGACTTACCAATGACTGGCCACCTTGGATTTTGAGCAAAAATTTGATTTGCATGGGCCAGTTCCTGCCTCACATGTTCCATTTCAGCATAATTGCTCTGATACCCATCAACAAAACCTAGAGCTTTGGCCCTAGTCTTTCTAATTGCTTGAAGAACCACTTGGTTTATTGTCAATCCAAAAATCTTGTCTTGGTTGATCTCAAAAAGAGCCTTTGGAAGATTCACTCCCATCACAATTGGCACATTCGCTACCTTGTATCCCTTTTGAGCTAGATATATTGACAATGGTGTCTTCCCTGTACGTGAAACGCCGGCAAGTACAATGTCTGCACGGTTGAGGTTTTGTGGCTGAGCCCCATCATCTTGTTTGATGGTAAAATCAATAGCATCAATCCGTTGAAAGTAATCTTCTGTTAGCTGACCCTTTCGATTAGGAGAGTTTCGTGGAATTCCAGATGGAGCAACACCAATATGAGAAGCAATGGCTTCAACAGTAGGCCGAAGAACATCAGTGGATGGAACACCCCAGAAATCACAGGCCTTCTTAGCTGCCTCAGCCATTGAAGGATCAGCAAGGGTATATAGAACCAGTGCCCCTTCCTTTGCTGCTTGCTTTATTACCTCAAGAAGTCGATCCGTGTTGTCAATCTACAGAACATTATCAGAAGCTGTTATACTTACAAAAGATGCAGCCTAATACCAAAAAGTGATGTGCATCTAACATTTTTCAAAGCCAACGCAGGTAGAAAAGTGGATAACTAGCATCTAGTTGGGATTTTCCTGAGAGAAGAATATGACAAACATCTGCTTTTTCTCCAACAATATGATTAACACAAACAGACAAGGAAAAAAACTAGTCATGGCAATAAATAACATAATGTGCGTTGATAACTAGTATCCCAACTGCCCGATACATAGTTGCCTCTGCATAAACAATTACTAATGTGCTACAAGACCGAGACAAAATTTTAACGAACAAAATTTCCAGTTCTAAAGTGATCTCGTAGCACTAGTACCGTAACAGATTTGTCCTCCAAGATCTGGCTCTTCCTCAGTTTCATTTCTCCAAATTAGCATTTCACATTCAATTATTCAGTTACACTTGTGGCATCATCAAAATTTACTGGTACAGTCCAAAAATTGCAGGGCCCCTAATTGGCTAATTCGATAGTTAGATGACAAAACAGGACATCTTACATGATAACTACTCACTCTGTCAGCAGTTAGCACACCATGAACGTACTTCCAGGAAAAAAAAAGTATATGGAGTCACGGTATGGGCCAAGACTCCAGGAGAAGGCATGAAGACCAAGCAGCCCAGGAAGCCAAACCAACGCGCCGTCAGCCCAGAATGGAAGAAGTAAGACTTAGCCTAGCCCAGCTGCGTCTGGTGTACGCTGTGTCCACAGCTGTAACAGAGCAATAGCTATTTAGGAAGGAGAGGAAGCTAACTGGAATCCGATTTGGTTGGCGTCGGAACTGGCGGCGAGCTGAGGCTCAAGATTTGCCGGCGACTACCAATTCCGCCATAGTTTGTATCTAGATACATATTTCCAGTTCTAAAGTGATCTCATAGCACTAGTACCGTAACATCTGGTATCAGGATTCAGCTCGATCCAGGGAGCCTCACCACAGGGAGCCTTACCAACTCGTTTGGAGTTCGTGCCACCATGACGACGGAGGAGATGTTGGCCAAGATTCTAGCAAAGCTTGAGGAGATGAATGCCTAGTGGCACAGCCCCGCTGAGCAACCGACACCTTCGTCGCCTCCCTCGACCTCCATCCTCACCACCGACACAGAGGAACGAGAGGCCAGCGTCCCCACCATCTCGACCAAGCCGGCGACGACCTCCTCGGCGTCGTTCATGCCTTCACCGACCTCGGCACCACCGCAGGACGCGGATCCCAGCTTCCAGTCGGGCGTCGACCGCCTCAGGCGCCTCCCTGACTCGCTCCTACGCGACATCGTCTCTCACCTCCCCATCAAGGACGCAGCTCGCACGGCGGTGCTCTCCCACCGCTGGAGGCTCATCTGGCGCGCTGCCCCGCTCCTCACCCTTGACGACTTCCACCGCTACCTCTTCTCCCACGACCTCAACCCGCCCAACCACTGGCGGAGCCTCTTGGAGGCGAAGCTGGGCGTGTTGGATATATTATGGGTTTGGCCCATATAATATTTAATAAATCAAATAAAACTCTATGGTACGTAACATTAAGCGTTGTATGGTTTAATATCATACAGGATTTTGACTGAACGTTGACTCAGCTTATATGATTGGAAATTATTCATCTTAATTGAGAAGCTGAGAAAATGACATAGGTGTGCCACACGCGCGCGCGCCGCCGTGGGCGAGGGCGCGGGCCGTGGTCGTGGCAGGCAGCGAGCGGGCGGGCGTGGCCAGTCTTTTGCCACTTAATCCACATAATCACGGGAGTTACTCCCATTGATGGTGGAGGCGAACTGATTGCGTCAGTTACCGTCCCTTCCGCTTCTCCGTCTCCTGGGATTCTCCGCTGCCTTTCTCCCTGCCTTTCTCCCTTCCCGTCGCAGCCATATATCTGTAGTCCTCCGTCAGTCCAGATCTCAGACTCCGTAACCGCTCCCAAGAGAAACCACATCTCAGAGAGAAACCACATCTCAGCAGCACTCTGGCTTCCCCGTCCCGTACCTCTGCGCACACGGAGTAGCGGGAGAGCAGGTGCCTCCGGAACCCTCGTCCGCCTAAGAACCTTGCACGGGGTGTGCGGCGATTAGGTTTTTGGGGAGCGATCCGCGACTGCTCGTCCACGTACGCCTTCTTCCTGGTGGTGATCGCTCTCGGAACCCGTCTTCTTCCCGGTGATTGCCTGCGGAATAGCAAGACGTCTTCTTCCTGGTGATCCGTTCGTGGGACTGCACTGCGAACATCGTCCTGCATCGACTGTGGTCCACGACTTCGAGCAACGCATTATGTCGACTAGTGCGAATGGAGCCTCCAATGCCCTCGGCATGGGACCCTCCGCTGGATACACTCTAATCTCTATGATTACTGTACTTTGCGTTTTTACTGTATTCATCTGTATGTCATCTCTGCATGTTGTAGCGTTCATTAGAGATATACTCATGCACATATATGCCGTCACGAACCTGCTGATGTTATATTTCTGTATTAAATTGACCATGAAAATGCCTAATTATCTAACAATGCAAAAACCTAATCTTAGGCAATTTTCTGTCAGCGGTTTTGCTGCTGCTTTGAAGCCAAATAATTTTGATGGCAATAATTTCATGATATGGCGTGCCAATATGGTATTGTGGTTGACTACGATGAACTGCTATCATGCCGCACAAGGGAAGCCTGAACAGTTTACTCCTGAGGAGGAGCAAAAGTTCTTGGCTGCCGATAACCTGTTTCGAGACGCCGTGATTAGTGCACTTCATCCTAAGTATGAGAAAAACTGCATATCTTGCACATCAGGCAAAGAGTTATGGGATGCTCTTGAGGCAAAGTTTGGAGTTTCTGATCTGGTAGTGAGCTGTACCTTATGGAGCAGTTGTATGACTACAAAATGGTTGAAACCCGTTCTGTGGTCGAACAGGCTCATGAGATACAGGCGCTAGCAAAGGAACTAGAACATTTTCCATGCCTGTTGCCCGACAAGTTTGTGGCCGACGGTATAATCGCTAAGCTGCCACCTTCTTGGAGGGATTTTGCTACTTCTCTAAAACACAATAGACAAGAGTTTAGCGTGGCTGAGCTTATTTGATCTCTTGATGTTGAGAAGAGGGCGAGAGCAAAAGATAACCGTGGAAAGGGAGTTGAGTCTTCCACTGCCAATATAGTGCAGAAGAAAAACTCATTTGCATCTCGTAATAAAAAGAAGAAGAACATGCAAGAGAACAACAATGCAAAGCCTAAGCAAACTACACAGTTTAAGAAGAAAAACAACAAGAAAGGTGGAGGTTACTTTGTTTGCGGGAGTGATGAGCACTGGGTAAGTGCGTGCCCAGACCGCAAATATAAGCAAGAAAAGAAATCAGTAAACGTGGTGATTAGCGAGACTGGAGGAGGAACATCTGGGTATGGTAAATCTTTACCTTTTGTTCTCTTAGTTTGTCTTTCACCTGAATGGTGGATGGACAGCGGTGCTAATATTCATGTGTGTGCTGATGTTTCTTTGTTTACTTCCTGTCAGGCTGGCAGGACTGGAGCCTTGCCGATGGGAAACGGTTCGCATGCACGTGTTCTTGGTGTTGGTACGGTCGTTCTGAAGTTTACTTCGGAAAAGACGGTGCTGTTAAAGAACGTGCAGCATGTTCCCTCCATCAAGAAGAATCTTGTTAGTGGTTCTCAAATGTGTCGCGATGGCTTTAAAATTATGCTTGAGTCCAATAAATGTGTTGTGTCGATACATAGAACATTTGTTGGAAAAGGTTATGATTGCGGAGGCTTATTCCGCTTATCTTTGCTTGATGATGTTTGTAATAAAGTAGTGAACAATGTTAATGTTTCGGATGAGTCGAATATATGGCATTCACGACTTTGTCACATTAATTTTGGCTGTCTCACGCGGCTTGCAAATCTGAATTTAATCCCGAAATTTAACTTAGTCAAAGATTCTAAGTGCCAGGTGTGTGTGCAATCGAAGCAACCGCGCAAGCCTCACAAGGCTACTAAGGCGAGGAACTTGGCACCATTAGAACTCGTTCATTCTGATTTATGCGAAATGAATGGCGAATTGACTAAAGGCGGTAAACGATACTTCATGACAGTTATAGATGATTGTACTATATTTTGCTACGTGTATTTATTGAAAACTAAAGATGAAGCATTGCATTATTTTAAAGTCTATAAAGTTGAGGTAGAAAATCAACTTGAGAAAAAAATCAAGCGTTTGCGGTCCGATCGTGGGGGAGAATATTTCTCAAATGAATTTTTTGAATTTTGCGCGGTGCATGGAATTATTCATGAGGGCGCTACCATACTCACCACAGGCCAATGGAATTGCAGAGAGAAAGAACCGCACTCTAACTGATTTGGTTAATGCCATGTTAGAGACTGCGGGACTATCTAAGGAATGGTGGGGTGAGGCTATATTGACAGCATGTCATGTCCTAAATAGAATGCCCACAAAGAACAAAGAAATTACACCATTCGAGGAATGGGAGAAGAAGAGATTAAATCTCTCTTACCTACGAACTTGGGGTTGTTTGGCAAAGATGAATGTGCCAATAAACAAAAAACGAAAGGTTAGACCAAAGACTGTTGATTGTGTTTTCCTTGGTTATGCTATTCACAACGTGGGTTATAGATTTTTAATCATAAATTCTAGTGTTCCTGAGATGGCTGTTGATACAATCATAGAATCTAGAGACGCTACTTTTTTTTAAATGAGTTCCCCATGAAAAATGCACCTAGCATAACTGGTCATGAATTTATAATTCACTATGAGCATGAAAATTTTACTCCGATAGAACAAATTGAGGAACCCTATATGCAAAATCCTGAGGAGGATGACACTATAATCACTAGAAAGAGTAAGAGACAAAGGACTGCAAAGTCTTTTGGTGATGACTATATTGTGTACCTTGTGGATGACACACCAACGATCATTGAAGAGGCATATTTCTCTCCTAATGCTGACTTATGGAAGAAAGCAGTACGGAGTGAGATGGATTCTGTTATGTCTAATGAAACTTGAAAAATAGTTGATTGTCCCTATGGGTGCAAAACTATAGGGTGCAAATGGGTGTTCAAGAAAAAGCTTAGGCCTGATGGTACTATCGAGAGGTACAAGGCAAGGTTTGTGACCAAGGGTTATACTCAAAAGGAAGATGAGGATTTCTTTGATACTTATTCACCGGTTGCCCGATTGACCACAATTCGAGTTTTGCTTTCCCTGACAGCCTCTTATGGTCTTATCGTTCATCAAATGGACGTTAAGACAGCTTTCCTAAATGGAGAGTTGGAGGAGGAGATCTATATGGATCAGCCGAATGGTTTTGTAGCAAATGGTCAAGAAGGCAAGGTGTGTAAATTATTAAAGTCATTATATGGCATAAAACAAGCTTCTAAGCAGTGGCATGAGAAGTTCGACAGAACTTTGACATTTGCTGGCTTTGTTGTGAATGAAGCTGACAAATGTATGTACTATCGGTATGGTGGGGGTGAATGAGTCATTTTGTGCTTATATGTTGGTGACATACTGATTTTTGGATCCGGCCTCAAAGTAATTGAGGAGGTGAAGAAATTCTTAACTAATAATTTTGAGATGAAAGATTTGGGAGAGGCTGATATTATTCTTAATATCAAGCTTCTGAGAGAAGGTGATGGTGGGGTAACTCTGTTACAATCCCACTATGTGGACAAGGTGCTGAATCGCTTTGGGTTTAGTGACTGTGCACCTGCTCCTACACCTTATGACCCTAGTATGCTATTGGGTAAAAATCGGAGAATAGCAAGGGATCAATTGAGATATTTGCAGATCACTGGTTCGCTCATGTATCTTGCTAGTGCAACAAGGCCTGACATCTCATTTGCTGTGTGCAAGCTGAGCTGGTTTGTGTCAAACCCGGGAGATGATCACTGGCGTACTCTTTAGAGAGTGATGTGCTATCTAAAAGGCACCAAGAGCTATGATATTCGTTATACCGGACATCCGAAAGTACTAGAAGGCTATTGTGATGCCAACAGGATCTCTGATGCTGATGAGCTTTATGCCACAAGTGGATATGTGTTTTCGCTTGGAGGTGGTGCTGTTTCCTGGAAGTCTTGTAAGCAGACTATCTTAATGAAGTCTACAATGGAAGCAGAACTCACAACATTAGACACTGCAGGCTCTGAGGCCGAATGGCTTCGTGATCTCCTTATGGATTTACCGGTTGTTGAAAAACTCATACCGGCTATTTCTATGAACTGTGATAACCAGACTGTGATTACAAAGGTTAACAGTTCTAAGGACAATATGAAGTCCACAAGGCATGTTAAGAGACGACTAAAATATGTCAGAAAATTGAGAAACTCCGAAGTAATAGCATTGGACTATGTTCACACGTCTAACAATCTGACAGATCAATTCACTAAGAGTCTGTCACGTATTATGATAGAAAGTGCATCGAGAGAGGTGGGTTTGAGACCCACGTGAAATTTACTATAGTGGTAACCTGTTCTATGTGATCGGAGATCCCGTGAAGAAGAATGGTGAAACAAGCTAGTAGTAAATTGTGAGGAAAGATCCTTAGTAAGACTCATTTCTGATGCATATCTTTCCTATCTGTAAGCCAGGTTGGTTTTTACCTTAATGTGTTTCAAGTGGCTTGCTAAAGCAAAGATGTTGTCCTACAGAAAATCTTTTGAGGAACACACCTATATGAGTCAGACTGCTGGTCACAGTCTATGAGATTTGGATGATCTCTAAATACTCATGAAAGGCACTGGAGTATGATTTATATGCTTCAAATAGAGGGGATGCATTTTACAGCCAAGGACTTTAGTGACATTCACCTCACACAAAACTGGCAATTCAAGGCCTAGTCCATTGTTCAGTTGTGACAGAGTGAAACTATTGCTCTAGATGGATGTTTAACTTAACAGTCTCCATCGAAACACTGGTATATAAAACAAATATGGTTCTGAGACTATTTTGTTACAAACCCTAGAGTTTTGTGGGGATTGTTGGATATATTATGGGCTTGGCCCATATAATATTTAATAAATCAAATAAAACTCTATGGTACGTAACATTAAGCGTTGTATGGTTTAACACCATACGGGATTTTAACTGAACGTTGACTCAGTTTATATGGTTGAAAATTATTCATCTTAATTGAGAAGCTGAGAAAAAGACATAGGCGTGACACATGCGCGTGCGCCGCCGCCGCTGCCGTCGGCCGGGCTGTGGGCCGTGGCAGGCGAGCGGCGAGCGAGCGGGCGGGCGTGGCCAGTCTTTTGCCACTTAATCCACATAATCACGGGAGTTACTCCCATTGATGGTGGAGGCGAACTGATTGCGTCAGTTACTGTCCCTTCCGCTTCTCCGTCTCCTCGGATTCTCCGCTGCCTTTCTCCCTTCCCGTCGTAACCATATATCTATAGTCCTCCGTCAGTCCAGATCTCAGACTCCGCAACCGCTCCCGAGAGAAACCACATCTCAGCAGCACTCTGGCTTCCCCGTCCCGTACCTCTGCGCGCACGAAGTAGCGGGAGAGCAGGTGCCTCCGGAACCCTCGTCCGCCTAGTGCTCTTGGTGCCCTCATGTTAGTCACAAGTTATACCCATCATGTGCTTTACAAATTGCTCTCTGGAGTCTCATGGGAATTTGAACCTTGGCCCACCACCTATTCAAAAATTATGCATGCACTTGGTTAGCAGTTACGCTTTTCAGCTAGAAGGAGAACTATGCACAGCTTGATTTGAAGGAGGGCAACTTAACTCATGGGCATTGCCAGTTGCTGAAATATGCTATTGGCTTTATGGTACTTGCAAGTCAGATGGCTTCTGGAAGTATTAAAAATGGATGGTTAATAGCACAGGTTAATCTATGGCTACTCTGGAATAATATAAGTGCATATCAGTTGTACAGTCCAACAGGAATGCAATTTATGCTTGTGTGGCTGCTACCTTACAAGGAAAATGTGGACTTAATTTCTGTTGCAAGCAGCAAGGATACTCGTTCGGTTTGGGCATTGCTTCTGATTTTTGCTAGTACCCCATCAAAGAAAGTCGACCAATCATTCATGGTGGCTCAAGTGCTCGTGTGCCAAGCAGGTTGTCGGTGTCTGATTGTATGCAGAAATAGTTGTGGGTCTATAAAGGGTTATGACCAGCTTGAGATGGAGAGGGGCCCAGAGCTCATCAGCACTTACATTTTGGAGGTCTCGAAGACCTTACAATGTTGCATCACCCTTGGGATTTTTACAGACTTCAGTGATTCTGTTGATACATATTGGACTCCACATGACATCAAATACAGAGGATATGCTGGCAGCCGCAACAGCTCAAATTACTAGAGGTAAACAAGAACATCACTGAAAATTCAGAAGAAAGACAACCCAGACTTTGGATTTCTTCCCAATTCAGTCAACATGATGTGTTTGTGTACCTGAGAACCCCTATGACCTACATGATGAGTGAGTTATGGGTGCAAGCTTATCTTCATTCAGTTCGGGACATACATCGGTCAATTATTTGCCAATCAACTATCCAAGCAATCTGTATCGACATTGTTGAAGGAGCAGTGAGAGCTGATAGTATTGCATACCAGACACTCCTCTATCCACCCATATTGCACTACTGAAGAAAGCAGTAGAGTACCATCTTCCATGAGAAAGGAACAGAGTCGTTACTCAAATTCTAGTCAAGTGGGCTGGACTACTAGTTGACATATCCACTTGGGAAGATGCAGATCAAGTTTCACGGAAGCTAACTTCACCAACGGCTTGGGGACAAGCCGTGTTTCAAGGAGGGGGGAATGTCACGGTATGGGCCAAGACTCCAGGAGAAGGCATGAAGACCAAGCGGCCCAGGAAGCCAAACCAACGCGTCGTCGGCCCAGAATGGAAGAAGTAAGACTTAGCCTAGCCCAGCTGCGTCTGGTGTACACTGTGCCCACAGCTGTAACAGGGAGATAGCTATTTAGGAAGGAGAGGAAGCAACTGGAATCCGATTTGGTTGGTGCTGGAACTGTCGGCGAGCTGCGGCTCGAGATTTGCCGGCGACTACCAATTCAACCGTAGTTTGTATCTAGATACATATTTCCAGTTCTAAAGTGATCTCGTGGCACTAGTACCGTAACAGATTTATCCTCCAAGATCTGGCTCTTCCTCAGTTTCATTTCTCCAAATTAACATTTCACATTCAATTATTCAGTTACACTTGTGGCATCATCAAAATTTACAGCTACAGTCCAAAAATTGCAGGGCCCCTAATTGGCTAATTCGATAGTTAGATGACAAAACAGGACATCTTCCATTATAACTACTCACTCTGTTAGCAGTTAGCACACCATGAACGTACTTCCAGCAAAAAAAAAAGTATATGGAGTCATGGCGAGATATTTACCAAGTTGAAGAGGTGGGTGTTGACAGCGCAGCCGCGGTCGGCCAAGCAGTGCTCGAACTGTCCGAGCGCGGCGTTCACCGAGTGCTCCGCGGTCCACCCGGTCCCGTCCGACACTATGTAGATGGCCTTCCCGGCTGCATCGTCCCTCTCGGCCACGCACAAGTCGTCGTCGTCCTCGCCATCCTCCACCGCCACCGCAGCGTCCTCCGGCCGCGACGTCTTGGTCACCGGCGGCGCCGAGGCCGAGGCCGAGGCCGAGGAGAGCGCCGCGCGGTCCAGCCCCACACGGCGGCCCGACCGCAGCGCCCGTGACCGGGACCACCGGTCCAGCCCCACACGGCGGCCCGACCGCAGCGCGTGGGACGTGGCGGTCTCATCCGGGCGTGGTGGCGGGGCGCCGTCAGACTGAGACTGGAGAGCTGGGGTGGTGTCAGGGGCGCAGGACGAGGGGGCGAGGCGGCGAACTGCGGGCAACGGCGGGCGGGCCTGCAGCGGCGCCGCGAGCGGCTTGGCGCTTCCAATCATTAAGCTAGCTGAGGCTGTGTACATATGCAGAGGCTGGGGGACCTTGGTTCCGTTATACAAAAAGATGCAGAGGCTGGGGACCTTGGTTCCGTTATCTAAAAAGCTGAGGCCGAGGGCGGCGGCGACTCCAGCGGTCCCGATACGAAGACGACGATGCCTTTCACTGTTCGCCCGCGTGGGTGGACGACGGCCACGGGAGTGCTTATTACAGAGGAAACGGTTTCTTGTTGCTTTCGCTTCCAGCGGTGGCGGGGCGAAGCTACGTGCCTGATCGGGCTGAATGTTGCGCTCGTCTGGGCCTAGTTGGGCTTCTGCTTTGCCAGCGACAGTTTGTAGACTGTGATTTGTTTTTTTTCCATGAGTCACCGTTTTGACCGTTCGATCTAGATCCAACGGCCCAGATCTGCGCCCTTCTCTCTCTTTCGCCTTCAGCCATCGTCCTTCCTCGACGCCCGAGCGCCCGACGCCTCCGCCACCACCGCTTGCGAACCTCCCGCGGCCTCCGACGCTGCTAACCGCTCGACGTCCCGCCACCTCCACAGCCCAAACGCTGTCTCCCACCACCCGGCTGGGCGGCTGGGCGCGCCTCCAGTCTCCACCGCCGGGCCGGCGCGCTCCCGGCGACTTCTCTAAGCCCGGAGGCCTCAGGTAAGGTAACCCCCCAAATTCAAATCTCTAGTGTAAATCATGGTGACTGATCACTTGCAAATTCTCAGTCACTTGAAGAGGAGTAAAACTCAGATGTTCAACAGGGTGCCCATGGAATGATTCGAAGACGGCACCGCTGCCCGCGTGTTACAGCCTACAGCCTTCGCCTTCGTCTTGCACATCTCTTTCACAATGACGAGCTCTCTCCTGTCCTAGGGTTTAGGGTTTAGACTCAAACCCCTTCTCCAAGACCCACCATGGCCTCCGCATCTCGAGTAAGCCACAGCCTCTCCTTTTCTCAGTGCAAAATCTAGTGTAGCAATTTGTCTCTGAATCATATTTTCTCCGGCCCATCACACGCGCGGTCCGGTATCGGGGGAAAATTTTGCGGTTGGATGGGTTCCTTCTACTCATAACACTCTAAGAAATAAGATGATGTGTTGCATTCATTTTAAGTGATATTCGGCACCTTGGTTTTCTAGGTGAGGCTTGGCACTCTAGTCCCCCTTACCAAGGACAATGCTGGCTCATATCAAGCGTCCCCATATTCCAGGGGTCCAATGTAGTCGGGAGGGACCATTTGGTTGTCGTCGACAAGAGGATCAGCCGCAAGCATCTGAGTCTCCACACCTCCATTGATGGCTCCATTGAAGTAGTAGTGGTATGAAAAAAATGTGGGGGATTGTTGATGGTGCCACATCATTGAACGTATTTATGTCTTTATTTGTTGAATGTAATGGTGCCACATCATTGTATTTCGACGGCTTTTGATTGAGGAGATAAGAAGTTGTATAAGTTCTATGTTAATGGATTTTCAGGAAGGTCCAAACCCTATAATGGTGCGATCGAAGGGGCAGAGGTTGAAGGTTTGTGCTAAAGAGAGAGCCAAGATTGCACATGGCGATGTCCTGGAACTGATTCCTGGTGACTATTTTGTGAAGTATGTGGACATGGGTGATGAACATAAAAGTTATGTACCAATGCATTTGAGCGACTTAAAGAAGGGTAAGAGGCATAGTGAGGAAGATAGTGTAGCAGTCAAGAGGAATAGACAGATTATGGAAGATGAGGCTTTGGCAAGAACACTACAGGTTAGCTAATGTTCTATTTTTCTTTCCAATCCATTCGTGTACTGTTCGTTTGTCTGACAACAGGACAACACATGATATTAGTGATAATTATTTTGGAGTGTTTTCCTATTGCTATTAGCTGAATTTAATTGATTTGAGTGTCTGCTTAATTGGGGCAGTACTTGGATAACACTAAAACTAGTCTTAGTGAAAGATGTAGCAGGCATGAAAAACAAGGGACTTGCCAATGCTTACTTATTTTCGCTATTCCCTTTGTTGTGTTTATAAACTAGAAGCAGTTATTCCAAAACTGTTGGAACCATATAGATCAGGAGCTATCTTTTTATTTACTGGTACTGCTAACAGAAATAAAGTTATACATTAATCCAATGTGCCTGAAATAACATGTCACAATGGGTGTATTTGAGTTATTATTGTTTTAGGTCTAAGTTCAATGATGAATATCTTGATCTAAGGTCTGCAAACGTATGTTTTTTTTTTTGGTAATATAGGATTTTATGCATTATTTTTCTTGCTCTGCAAAGTTCCAATGAAACATGAGTGCATGTATGGGTGACTTTAAGCTATGGGATGGTAGTTCCTTTTCCTTTTTGTGCACCTCACAAACAGTTTTCTATTTTTACACTTATAAACTAATTAAGAATGAAAGTGACGAGTGGAGTAATGAAGGAAGGCTGGAAAGGAAATTTAATTAAAAAAATTCTACCATAATCATAACACTACACATGAGACATCGGACGTTCGGATTTTATTTACGAATGGGACGTTTGGTTTCCTGGACTCAATTTTAGTCCATGTCACATCGGACGTTTGGATGTTATTTAGGAGAACTAAATATGAGTTAATTATAGAACTAATTACATAGATGGAGGCTAATTTACGAGACGAATTTATTAAGCTTAATTAATCCTCCATTAGCACATATTTACTGTAGCACAACATTGTCAAATCATGGACTAATTAGACTTAAAAAATTCGTCTCGCAAATTAGCCACAATCTGTGCAATTAGTTATTTTTTTCGTCTATATTTAATACTTCATACATGTGTCCAAACATCCGATAAGACATGGACTAAAATTTTCATGTAGAACCAAACACCCCCTAAATGCTTGCGTTCGGAACACGATTGATAATTTGTTTCCTTTCTGTGCATACACGTGCTCTGTGCACCTTTCCTTGCTGAATAGTAGAGTTCACTTGTATATTGGCAGATGAGCTTTCCTTGTGTAAAATCACAGTGCACCATCAAATTATGTTGTGTCCTATCTAAGCCCTTGTTTAGTTCCACCCAAATTTTTAAAAAGTTGCTACAGTATCTGTCACATCGAATATTTGCGGTTCGTGCATGGAGCATTAAATGTAGACAAAAAGAAAAACTAATTGCACAGTTTGGTGGGAAATTGCGAGACGAACGTTTTGAGCCTAATTAGTCCATGTTTGAACACTATTTGCCAAATAAAAACGAAGGTGCTACAGTAGCCCCAAAATCCAAATTTCGCGAACTAAACAAGGGCTAAACAGGAAAGCTTCGCAGAAGACAACACAGCTGTTTCTGGCGTGACTTCTGGCCAAAAAATAAGTTCACATGTCAGTGCTGGTTCTTCTGGAAGAAATAATGAGAGAACACACTCTGTTGGTCCTTTGAAAGATATGCTCCCATTGACTTTTCGGCTCAGGCGTGTCCAAGGTCTTCCATCATGGACTAACACTTCCTCAGTTAGCATTCAAGCAAGGTTCTTATCATGCCAAATGAATTGCATATTCTGTTATTTAGTGCATCCTTTGGCCGTGTATAGTACAAAATATTCATTTAGAGGAAGAAATTCCATGTTGATTCATAAAAATGTGCTACATATTTCTAATCCATTTTGGTCCACTACTTTCCATCAACACACATTTAACCCATCCTCTTTTGCTAGTTTATCCATTATTAGTCAGTCTTAATTGATTTAAATCATTCACAGGTCAGGTTGATTGGATCGGTTCCTGGTTATCATGTGGGCCCCAATATTAGAAGGTGGGGCCATATGAAGCTTAGGAATGTTCTCGATGAAATCACGTTTGATAAACAATTTTGCGAGTCCCCTCTGATTTATCAGGTACCTTTTTCCATTTATCCATTTTTAGAGCATGCAACTTTGAAAAAAGTGGTGGTAAAACTAATCTTTTGATCTTTAATATTTAGATATTTGAAATTAAGGAATAAAATTTATTTACACAAAACTTGTGCCTTGATATTATTTCTACCACAGTTTTAACTTGAAAGCCATAGTACTTGTAGCATACTAATGTCATTCATAGAGCTGTGCAAATATTGCAATGATGAACAAAGAAGCATATAACAAACAGATCATTGTTGCTTGCATAGGAATGTATTCATTGGAGGGTTGGTATGACTGTACTAAACTATCTGTCAGGATACTAGAAAATAGGGTACCCCAAGCAAAGATCGAAAAACTGCTTAGACCCTAAAAACAGAACCAACGGAATAAACAAACGAGGTCTCGGTCGAAATCTCCGATTCGCCTGAGACCCCGTCGCCGAGCCCCAGCGGAAGAAGTGCCGATTCTCTGATTCACGCGAGGCCAGCTCGGCACCAGCCCCGTGACCGCCTCTTCGACCAAACTGCTCTGACCGAACGTCGCATCCAAGCACCCAACCACTCCGACAGACGCACGACGGCACAGTACAGCGAAGTGACCGACTACATGCCAGTCGCGTCAACCTCCCGCCATCTGTGACGGCACAGAGCAGGGGTTACTGACCACTGTGCTGCCTAACTCCTACACCAAGGACATCGCAACGTGGGGAGTCAGAACGGGTTCCTGTAGCCTCGGAATCAGCGGACCGACCGCTCCGTCTCGCCCGAGCCCCCTCGACAGGGCCTCGGATTCACTGATCTTACTCCGCCTCGCCCGTCCGCCGCCCGAGACCCTCCGGTAGGGCCTCGGACGAATTGGCCACACTCCGCCTCGCCCGAGGCCGGGCTCGTCCCGCAACCTCGTCGTCTCCGCCTCAAAGGTCTCTCTGGCAGGCTGTCGCATCCGATTAATGCGCTCAGCTGCACCCGCTACGTAAGCCACGATCGGCAGTGCGCTACAACAGGAGCGACGGGACAACGGTCAGATCACCTTTTTTAACATCCCTTACTGACAATACAGGTACCGTATCCTGTAGGCGCACGTCTCGCACTATTTCGGGTGGACGGCACGAGACCCGCATCGCACTGGTCACTTCTCGGGCCTCGAGACGGCGAGCCCTCGCACAAACAGCCTCAAGACGACAGCGAGGCCTCGCGACGACCGGCTACGATGGCCGCCGAGCCTCTGCAATCCACCAAGTCAACAAATGCGCAGCATGTTACTTGCAGTGGAGACCATACCGATTAGACATCAACGGGAACTCCCACGACAACGCCATGCTGCTCCAGGAGTAAATACGTCATCAAATAGTCCTCCCTGCGGCTATAAAAGGAGGCAGCCAGGACCGTTTCTGAGGACGGCGGATAGAGTCACGAATACTCGCACGAACAACACGCCTCATTCTGTAATTCATATCACCTCCCCTCACGAGAGATCCGGGATGAACTCCCTCTCTCGGCCCAACTTGTAACCCCTACTACGAGCACCCGGTGCAAGGAATACAAGAACATCTTCTCGGGATCGGACATAGGGCATCCATTGCCCGAACCAAGATAAACCTTGTGTCTCTTTGCATCACCATCCGGAATTGGGAGCACGCAGACAAATTCACTAGTCGGTTAAGGACCCCGGTTACGAACGCCGGCGGCATGCGCGCCGGTAGGGGCCTCTGCGTGTCGACTTAGTCATCCCACCAGATTCCGGATGGCAGATCCCGTGCGATCGTTGCGTCTCGGGACGATCGTCTTGTTCGGGAGCCTAGAATTCATGTCTCTAGGGCACGAGTACGACATGGTACTCCTCTCACCCAGAGCGCCATCAACCGACGACGATGACATCATGCACCGCAGCCACGCGTGGGGGCGCCGGGCCGTCGCTCCGTCAAGCTTCGCTCGCAGCGCCCGCCAGCGGCGAAGTCCACCTAACACACCGCGCAAAATCACAGAACGCCGATCATGCTCCACCGAAATCCCATACCCAGCTGGCAGCACGAGTCCTCAGACAGGACCTGTCCGGCTTAAGCCTCGACAGGGGAAAAGGCCCGGTGGCGCTGGCGACGCCCCATCATCAAGCTCATCCCCTCCTCCCGAGGAGCTAGCTCATGGCGGAGCGAGCTCAGCGACAGGCGCCATCCCGTGCCCTTTTGGGCTGACCAATGTCGCCGCCTCCTCACGCCACCGCCTCGCTCCATTCATCAACGTCATGCCCATAACCCCATAGTCACAACTCCAATCCACCCCCACTCTGACTCCTCGGAGGAGGACGAGGCGTGGGTTGGAGCAGACTTCTCCGGGATTCGCGACCCTGAGGCGATGCCCCGCTTCATGATCACGAGCGACTACTGCTTCGGCTACTCTGATTCCGACGGCGAGGACGCTTACGACCCAACTCGTGAGTGTTTCCACATCGAACTCGGAATGCCGAGCACGGGCAACGATGGAGGAAGGGCAGCCAACACCATGCCACCACGCACGGGGTCCCCGCCAGCGGCAGTAGGTGTCCCCACCCCCGAGCAACTTTGACGCATAGACCTAGAGCAGCTCCGTGAGCTTCAAGCCAAGGTCGAGCAAGATCGACTCCTCCTGCAGCAGCTCCGAGCCACCCTCGAGCAAGAGCAGCGGGAGCGCGACGATGGTGGAACGGCCCGGCTGGGGGCTCGCGACGTCAACCGCCGCATTAACGATGATGAGGGGGGCGAGCAACCCCCTGTCTTCAATCGCGCTAGCCAGAACGTCGCTGCGGCGGCAATACTGGTCCGAGCGATGCCCGAGCCCTCTACCACGGAGGGGCGACGAGTCCACGGCGAACTCCGGGGCCTTCTCGAGACTGTCGCGGTGCAGCAGGCTGAAAGCTCCGCGTCTCGACGACGCTGGGACGCCTCGAAATAGCCCTCGGTGCACGACCGCCTCAGGGCCCCCTCGGTGCACGACCGCCTCGACGACCAACGCGAGGCGCAAAACGGCCACCACGTGGACAGCAAACGATGGCGCCACGACCACTATGGGGCCGCCCGGGGCTACCAAGTGCACCGAGGCGGTCGCTATGACAGTGGGGAGGACCGCAGTCCTTCTCCTTGGCCCTAGAGTTTTCAGTAAGGCCATCCACAGCGCCCGCTTCCTGGCCCGGTTTCGTCAACCAGCGAATCTCTCAAAGTACAGCGGCGAGACCAACCCCGAGCTATGGTTGGCCGACTACCATCTGGCTTGTCAGCTAGGTGGTGCGGACGATGACCTGCTCGTCATCCGCAACCTCCCCCTATTCCTGTCAGACTCAGCGCGAGCCTGGCTCGAACACCTTCCCCCTATGCAAATCCACGACTGGCGTGACTTGGTAAAGGTCTTCGTCGGGAATTTCTAGGGCACCTACGCGCGCCCCGGGAACTCCTGGGACCTCAAGAGTTGCCGCCAGTGGCCGGACGAGTCTCTTCGAGACTTCATTCGACGTTTCTCCAAGCAATGCACCGAGTTGCCCAGCATCGGCGACTCAGAAATCATCCAGGCATTCCTCTCCGGCACCACCTGTCGAGACCTGGTCCGAGAATTAGGCCGGAGCGTACCGACCACGGCGTCCGCACTCCTCGACATCGCCACCAGCTTCACCTCTGGCGAAGAGGCCGTCGGGGCCATCTTCCCCAACAACGACTCCAAGGGAAAGAGGCGGGATGAGACCCCCGGGGCCTCGACGTCTCGCCCCCCCAGAAAAAGAAGGGACGCCAGGGGAAACAGGAGGTTCTCGAGGCCGGGCTCGTCGCGGCCGCGGACCACAAGAATCCCCGAGGCCCAGGGCTCTTCGACAACATGCTTAAAAGACCCTGCCCATACCATCAGGGCCCGGTAAAGCACACCCTCGAGGAGTGCACCATGCTCCGGCGATACTACGCCAAGCTCGGGCTCCCCAACGACGATGCCAAGAAGAGGGGCCAGGACGACGGAGACAACGACAAGGGCGACGGGTTCCCCGAGGTATACAATGCCTTCATGATCTTCGGTGGGCCCTCGACTTGCCTCACGGCGCGACAGCGAAAAAGGGAATGCCGAGAGGTCTTCTCGGTTAAGGTGGCCACTCCCCGGTACCTCGACTGGTCTCGGGAGGCGATCACCTTCGATCGGGATGACCACCCCGATCATGTCCCAAACCCCGGCCAGTACTCGCTCGTCGTTGGCCCGATTATCGGGAACACCCGACTCACCAAGGTGTTGATGGACGGAGGCAGCGGCCTCAACATCCTGTACGCCAACACGTTGGAGCTCCTAGGGCTCGACCGGTCACAACTCCGAGGCGACGCCGCGCCCTTCCACGGCATCATGCCAGGGATGCGCGCGCGACCCCTCGGGCGCATAGACTTACCCGTCTGCTTCGGCACCCCCTCCAACTACCGCAAGGAGACCCTCACCTTCGAGGTGGTGGGGTTCAAGGGGACTTATCACGCCATCCTGGGATGGCCGTGCTACGCCAAGTTCATGGCGGTCCCAAACTACACCTACCTCAAGCTCAAGATGCCGGGCCCCAACGGTATCATCACTATTGACTCCACGTACGAGCATGCATATGACTGCGACGTCGAGTGCATCGAGTACGCCGAGGCTATAGTGGAGTCCGAGGCCCTCATCGCCAACCTCGACCAGCTCGGCAGCGAGGTGCCTGATTCGAAGCGTCGTGCCGGGACGTTCGAGCCCGCGGAGGCCGTCAAGCTCGTCTCGGTCAACCCCACTTGCTCAAACAACCGAGTGCTGAGGGTCAGCGCGACCCTCGGCAGCAAATAGGGGGCCGTGCTCGTCGACTTTCTTCGCGCGAACGCCGACATATTCGCGTGGAGTCCCTCGGACATGCCGGGCATACCAAGGGAGGTCACCGAGCACGCCCTCGACATCCAGGCCGGCTCCAGACCGGTGAAGCAACGCCTGCGCCGATTCGACGAGGAGAAGCGCAGGGCCATTGGCGAGGAGGTACAGAAGCTTTTGGCGGCCGGATTCGTCAAGGAAGTGTCCCATCTGGAGTGGTTAGCTAATCCTGTATTAGTTAAGAAGAAAAATGGAAAATGGAGAATGTGTGTGGACTACACCGG